CTGACACTCTGGGATGGAGGGAGGTGACCCAGACCAGTGGGGACGTGCGTGCTGGCCAGCAGGGAATTTGAGACACGCTGTCTGGGAATGTGCTTCTCTCTGGGGGCGGCAGCATTTCCCTGGCAGGCTTAGTGGGGCCCTTGGAATCCAGGCTGGGACCTCTTCTGTCCAAAGGGAACACTAAACAGTGGGATCCCATCTTTGATCTCGTAGCCTGGACGCTTCTCAACCTTGCACTCTCCGCCGACACCACTGTGACGAGATCTCTTCCCCCCTCCCCAACCCCTCATAGCCCCTGCAGTGCTAGGAGAGCGAGCTGATTCTGCTCTGCCTCATGCATCAGCTGTAGGGAAATCCCACATGCAGAACCCACCTTCCCAGCTGGGTGACAAACCACCTCTGCCCAGGGCTCTCTGCCCAGGTACCCCCTGCTGCAGTCAGATCACAATGGAGCCTTTGATGTTGTGGTTCCTAGGGGTTGGAACTCCCTCACTCCTCCCTCCCCCAAGACTGTCTCATGCCACTTCTCCTCCCCCTTTGGGAAAAGCCTCTCAACCCCTTCCCAAGGTGTGCGCTGGTCTCAACACTGCTGGACCCCAGATGGGTGAGCTCCTCGCCCCTTGGCTTGTCCTGGTGCTGTTTAGGGAATGCCCTCTCTCCATACACTGCCAAGAATGTGATGCTGATGCCCAGCACCCTGGGCAGAGGGCACTTTGTCATTGACACAATCGCTGTGGTGCATTCACCTGCTCGTCTGCCCTCAAGGTCAGGCCAGCCCCAGCTCCAGTCCTGATTCTTCACCTCCTACCCCCTGCAGCTGAGATGTCCAGGCTCCTGTGCTGGGATCTGCTGCCTGTCATCCCCTGCAGCTATTCAGCATTCCCACTCCACTGCCCTCCTCCTCTTACTCCCTGGTGTCTCTCCCTGGCAGCAACTTGCCGTGAGGATATCCAGCAGGCCCAGGTGGAGAGAGAGCAGGTGCTGGGGGAGAAGGACCGGACCATCGCCGAGCTGCAGGGCAAAATCAATGCCATGGAGACAGAGTATGAAAAGATCTTGCACGTGAGTCACTGTGGCAGGGGTCTGGCGCCATGCCTAGGGGTGGGAGAGCCCAGTTGGAGCAGGCCAGGGATTGGGCGGGAAGATTCTCCCTTTTCTTAGTGGAACATGCCAGCCCTTCTCCACAAAGCTGGGGGTCCTATTTCCAATTAACCAGAGACACAGAGGAAGAGTGGCTACCTGCTGGTATCTACCCTGTATGTTCCGAGGGTGCCCCTCCCGCAGCATCTAGGCACCCAGCTCCAGAGCCTCCCCACTAGGCCCCTAACCCCCTACACCAGAGGAGGTCCCCCCTTAGCGGCTGTTCTTCACCTGTTGCTTCTCTGCCTTCTCCCTCCAGGGCAGCCTGGACCGAGTCCTTTCCAAGCTGGCAGCCGCCCAGGGCTGCTGGAAGAAGGAAGCCACAACCTTGCACATGGAGCAGAAGGAGAGACTGCGAGAGTTTGGGCTCAATCCCCTGGAGATCTAGGGCGCTGGTTTACACTGGGGCAAGGGGCCATGTAGATGCCCCGTCATGGCCAACCACTAACCCCTCAGCAGTGATGTTTTGCTTGACAGGGCCAACAGGTATTCTCCTAACTGGGGGAGGAGGGGGCAAAGGGGGACTTAGCGCTAGGGGAAGGAGCTGAATCAACAGCCCTGGAGACTGGTGTCCTCTGACCCCAGTGCAGCTCTCTCGACAGCAGGCCCAGCTCAGCTTGGCCTGGGTCCCCGCAGCTAGCAGGGAGAGAACAATTCAGTCTCCAGGCCCCCTTTGGTCCTTGGCTTCTCTGCTGAGACCAGCCCTTCCCGCTCCCCCCAACCTCCTGCCCCTTCCCCGAGAGTCCCATCAGGTTCACTGCTTCTCAGATCAGCTTAGGTAATTTTTTAAAAGTTGTTTTAATTGTGTAAAATGAGAAGAAAAGGAGGAAGTGGGAGCCAGCTCCGGTGCAGCAGGGGGATGGACGGCAGCTGCTGGGCTGGGGCTTGCAGAAGGAAAGGGCGGGGGGGGGGAGGGGGGAAGGCTATGCACAGCACAACACAAGGAGCCAGACCCTCAACGAGCAGCACAGCTAATTGGGAACTTACACAATGGAGGTCAGACCCCACGCCAAGGGAGTAACTGTTTGGGGCCCTGCCCCCTGCATGCCATGCAACTGTTGACCCCGCCCTCTGCTCCCCCAACCACCAGCATACTACAGTGCCCCTGAGAAGCAGTCTGTGGTCTCCCAGCAATGGAGGGCATGGGTAGCCCAGTCCCCTGCAGATGGAGGGGTTGGCCTGGATTCTCCCCCATTGCCAAGGCGCTGGGATCAACAAGCATCTAAAGCCCACGTCAGAGAGGTACCTGGGTGGAATTCAAATCTCTGACCCGCCAAAGGGTCCTCTCCAGCCCAGCGCAGCCCGGGGAGGGGAGACGAGACTAGGAGGCTGTTGGCAGATGTACAGAGTTAGAAAAAAGATAACTGCACAGCCAGGCAGAATCATCTCCCGGCCCCAGCGAAAGGAATGCCTGCAATAACCCACTGCCTCTGGTTAAACGTGGCCAAATGCTCCCACATCTTCTCCCAGGAGACTTTCCACCAGCCCCCCCGCCCCCAGTCCCTAGAGTCAGTCCCACAATGCAACTGACTCCACTTTACACCAGCAAAAGGTTTGGGCCCCCAGCGCATAACTTGCTGCCATTCCTCCCCCAGATAACTCTTCACTCTTAACAGACAGCCAGGCCCCTTGCACCCCTTGAGCCACAACCTCTCAGCAGGCAGGCAGGGTTTCACTGCCCCTAACTTCAGTGTCTCTCCAAACTATGCAGCTGGGGAGGTTAACTTGTAAAAGCCACAATTAGGACCTAATGCAGCAGCTCTACTGTCTCCAACCCTCCATGCTTTGGTGCAGCTCCTTGGTAGAGCCAGTGCTAGCAGCAAAAGGGGTGAAGAGACACCATTGTCCTTCACTTACACATGGTGCCACCGTGTCTGTTAATAAAAAGTTGCTGTGATATCTCAGCCAGATGGGTAATTGGTTTCCCTTAGGTGCAGGCCCCTGGGCCTCCTTGTTTCACTGACCTCACCTGTTCTGGTCCCTGCTCCCATGCTGGGCCTGCCCTTAATCTGTGAGGCTAATCTCAGGAGAAGTGGCAGCTTTAAAGTCCCAAGATCAGCTGATTGGTGCAGCAGCTCACCGGGAAATCAGATCAAGGGAAGAATCAAAGTGCAAGTTATCGTGCGTGCAAAATCGCGTGTCCAGGGTTGGTCTGGGCCGTGGTTTGAAGCCGCTCCAGAACTGGGATTGCGCTGAGCCCACGGGTCCAGAACAGAGTGGCTAGAATGACTGACTCAGTCCCTTCCATTCCTCACACCGTGGCTCCTGCAAGGAACGGAGAAGGGTCAGTACCAGTCAGTTACATGGCCCTTCTGGAGACCCTGAGCATAGGGGCCATCCATAGGGAGACTGGGGAAGCAGCAGAGATGGGGGTTCCAGGTGGCATGTGGGACCGTGAAGAGGTTCTTAGAACCATGGCAGCACCTGCATGGAGGCTCCTCCCCCTTTGCTCTCACCTGCCCTGTCTCACTCAGTGTGCAGGGGTGGGTCAAGCACAGTTTGGTTACTTCTCTGTCACCCCTGGGATTCCCCCCATCCTGGCATCCCCATCTCCACTCCATGTGGCTTGGGGGCCAGATAGCAAGACAGGGACACTGATCACAGTCTAATAACCATGTAAATCCAGAGCAACTGAAGATAATGGAGTGACTCTAGATTTACACCAGGGGCTAGGAGGTGGAGCAAGTTCACTCGGTCTTCCTGGCCCCGGTTCTGCTCCCATATACAATGGTGTAAGTTGGAGCAACTACGCTGACTTCTAGGCAGTTCCAGCCAGGCAACAGAGCAGAGTCTGGCCTGTCGCATTTGTTCTGACTAACGAGTCACTGAGGAGCGGGAGGGAGGCCAGAGAGGAGCAAGCAATGAAAAACCATCCCAGGTGCGGAGGAAAGAGCTTGGCTGATGAGAGCTCCTGCCATGGGAAGGGCACAAACACCTTGTAGGGAGAAGAGTTAGCGAGCCCCGGGCCTAGAGGAGTGACTGAGACCTTATTTACACTGAGGTTTCAGCCCTGGGCGTAGCTGGGCTGGTGCAGACCTGAGTCACACCAGCGCAAGGCCATTTGTAGCACTCCAGCTCTGCCAGTGGCTACACGCCCCAGTGCAGGGAAACCCTAAGGAAAGGAAAGCGGAACATTAGGAAGGGGCTCCTCTGGAACCATCTCCCTGCAGGCAGGGGAGGGAGCCCCATTGCTTGAGACTAAACCCCACAGCAAACCATCCTGGTCTGACTCTTGGGCCTGCCCGGGCTAATACAACAACTCCTGCTCTGGCTTCTCTGTAGAGTCTTGACCCCAGGTGACTGCACTGGCAGGGCGATGTGGAGCCTGGGGCGATACTTAGAAGGTAGCAGCAGGACCAGCCTTACTCACACTCACCTGCCTAGAACCCAGCAGGGCCTCGGCCCTGGCAGCAGCATCGCCGCCCTCTGCCATATC